TTCGTGGCCAAGAATTAATAAAAAAAAAATTATCATAGCATGTCCTATACCAGCCATCGTACCATCGAACACACGACCATGATTGATATTTTATTCTTCATTATTTTCAAAAAAATACAAAAAATACAATTCCTTTTATACCCGAGATACTCTGGACAGGTTAAGTTGAAATTTATTTTCCGCTTGTACTGAACTTAAATATTTTAAAAGATCACAGCCACTACACAGAAATATTAAGGACATATTTCTGCATAAAAACTTAATTTCCATATTATTTCAGAAATTTCACTCGAGGACTCGGCTCATACTTTGTACAACGAGCACTACGCAAACTCAAGAGTTCATAAAACATTAATATAAATTTTGGAGAGGAGCAAACTCGGACATCTACATGTCAAAGTTCAAACATCAAAGGTCGGATCCGATGCCGTGCAGGAGTGAGCTTCCCTTGCCGACCATTCACACCGGCCGTGTAATTCTTGTCATGATTGAGACAAGAAGGGAAAAAATAGTCTACAATTCAGTGTGTAAATAATGGCATAACAATCATCAGTCCGTATGTAACTTATGATAGATTTGCTTAAAAAATCATTGTATGTAATATATGAGAAAAAATTTGAAAGAACCCTAAATGACGATTCAGCAAATTGCATCTCTATACACAACCCCTTTATTTCATATATGCATTGATGTATATATTTTGTCAGCATAAGGCATGGCAATAAGCTTTAAAATCTATCTGCACATTTATCGTTTTAATGTTTTACAGGGCTTTAAGAAAAGAACTATATGGTATTTTACAGGCATCAAATATCTATCGGTGATTCTTCATAGTACTAAATTTCATATATTTTCAAGCGTAACCTTTATTGATTTAATATTAGTCTTGCAATCTACCTGGCCTTTATATGCAGATATTCCAAAACTTCCTGAGTCCACGTGTTGAAATTGGATCCCAGTGTCTGACTTAATTTGGTTTTCTACGGAAGCTTTCATAAGTAGACAGATAACAGAAAGAACAAGTTGTTTCTCATACAAAGGTTACTTAATATTGATGGTTGGGTATTAAGTAAATTATGTCGTCGTTGTCATTCTCTTAAATATTGAATGAACCTATTCAAGAGCTAAAGGGCAACGTTTTGAGTCATAAAGGTTAAGATCTTGACCTTATCTCTATTAATGATTAGAGGAAGATATATTGAGAGTCCTATAACATAGCGTTTCCTTAAAATTTCGACAAAAGATTTCAATTTTGATCGTAAAATGCTTTTGGCCAAAAACAAATTCAAAGATTGAATGAAATTCTAGTCTTCCCTTGTTTGTTGCGGTTGTGCTTGATTTTTTTCCCTTTGATTTTCATAATTCAGAAAATTAAAACAGTCTGTCCAAATTAGAACTTGTCACTTTTTTAAACCGACACTACAATTAATACTTCTACACAGCAAATGTAGACAAAGTAAAATGACCTGCGAAATTCAGGACGTGTTAAGTGTGATCAAAGTCTTTAAATTGAGAAGAAAGCACTCTAGATAAGTTATAGAACTCGTGTCTAATCATTTTGACTTGTCAATAAAATAAATTATGTTCAAGTTATTTTAGTAATCATACTGACATTTGGCATTGAGTATGATTTTTTATACTAGAAGACTTGATAATTCTTGCAAAAAACACTCTTTTCAATTTATTCGACTAAAGCACATTTCCATTTCCATAATGTACCTCTAAATCATTCATGTACATTGATTCGAAAATATATCTATATATATATATATATATATATATATATATATATATATATATATATATATATATATATATATATATATATATATATATATATATGTACGAAGGGTGATCAAAAAGTTCGCAAACTAATTGAATAACTTCCATACAAGAAACATATTTGGTTTTAATGTTGTTTATATTTTAAATTAATCCTCCCCGATTTTAATGCACATCAACCACCGTTCTGCGCATGCGCGAATCACGTGATATTGGCGGTCACGTGACCCCCTCCGTAGTGTTCTGTCACAAAAGTTAAAAGATTTTTCCGAGTTTTATATTTATTTCCATGTAAGTTAATTTTTATGACAAGAACTGTTAATTTGTCAGAAATGGTCATATCTCGGCAACAGAATGGGTGGATAATAACATCCTTTCCAAAAATAAGCATGGCGACCATTAAAACACAAATCTTCTGTCTCAGAAGAGACCTTTAAATTTATTCAAGGTGGATAGAGAATGGGTGCATCCTTTTTATCATATCTAATATGTTTAAAATCTAAAGTAAACGATATCTTAGGTATTTAATACCTATATCATTGTTCAAATATTCAACTATTTTTCAAAGTGCTACATGTAATTGGAGGTCTTTGATAGCAAATTGCTTAATTAAAAATACATATCTTTTCGAACTTGCTTTCACTGGGCAAGATGACAAGTATCATTTTTAACCATCAGCCTTCCTTCACTAAAACGATTAATCCAATCATTAATTGGATTTATAGGAAATCATTTATCTCAATAAACTGTGTACAAATTATTATATGATACTGTAGAGGGATTTCTAAGATATTACAATAAAATGTACAGTCGTTTGTTGAACGAGTTCGACCGAGACAACCATTTTTCGTCACAAGTGACATAAATAGTGACGTCATTTTTACATTGTGATGTCACAAACAAGGAGAGAAACTTTATTCAGCATATGTTATTTATAGACCTTGTGTATGGCTATGTGTGTACCGAATTTCATTCTAATCTGAATTGTGGTTTTGTAGATATAGAGCTAGTTTGCGAACTTTTTGATCACCCCTCGTACATTAAACACTAAAGCAAGAAGTTACACTGTATATCTTAGCTGTGTTTTATTATACTTGCAATGCATTTAAATGTGCATTAACAAATGAAAAATTCGAAGCAATAATTAAGCACATGATGATAAAACGATTACCAGAGATGACAACATAAAATAATATCTTCATATGCAAATTATCATTTATATTCATCTTCTCATGTTTATAGATTAAGTAACTATTTAAAAAGGTAAAGCTAAAAAAAATTATATCCTCTTACAACACGAAATATATAATAATTCTTTAAACAAATGATAGAGAAAAAAGAAAACTTTTAAAGATAAGGTTTCAAAAGGTAATTCCATTCTCTAGTGATATCAAAAGTTAAGCAAACTTTTACATATATAGATATTTCATAATTTCAACGATGTAAGGCATCACGCAATAGAATTTTTTTTGAAAGAGTGTTTTGAAAATGTCTGATCACAATATATGATTAATTAAATGAATATGAAATATCCCTTGCAGAATTTTCAGTTCTCTATGCTATTAAAATGACAAAGGCGATAACTAATTACCCGCTTTTCTTAGTTCATATATTTTCTTTAGTGTATTTTAATTGTAAAATGCTTTCCTCAAAAGCACACTTTTATGAACTATTTATATAATTAAAAGTATTTGGAATTTTCATTATTTAAGACTATGTAAGAAGTATTTACCTACATTATATTTGTCTGACATCTTTTAAATACGTTAAGGACACTTATTCTTTTAGATTGATTATGTTAAACTACATAAAGTAAAAATAGTTTCTATACTTTGAATCTGTTAAAGTATTCTGGTGGAGTCAATTCCAAAAAAAATGCAACAATAGCAGAACTTTAATTATATATTAATGACAATTGTACATCATCTATTTTTTTTTTAAATTTCAGAATTTTTTGTTCCCTTGTTGTAAAGTATAGATCAGAGAAAAAAATATAAGATTAACACTTCACACTACATGTCACAAATCTTACAAACACAAAAAACATAGCAATTCATGAAAACAAAATAATTAAGAGACACATTCATAAGACATTAAATGTCTTTCCACTTTGATTTGTAATAATTAGGATGAATATACATACCAAAAAATTGCATATAATGTTTGCAAAATAAAATTCTGTATGTACATATTATATTCGCCAAAAAAAAAAAAAAAAAAAATAAAGAATATGCTTTCAATCATGATTGCATGATTTAAAAAAGAAAACAATATACTATTGCCTACAAAAACATAAACAAAACTCAAACTACGTTAATAATTTATAAAAGCAATATTTCTTTTACACTTAGAATATCTATTTAATGACCAACCAACCACCCCCTAAACACCAGAGAAAATATGTCCTTTCTAATGAGCACTGGGAATGATCACATTCATATTAAGCCATATTAGAAAACACATCAATATATAGGAAAAGTTTAAAATATATCAGGAGAAATCGTCATTTTATACATTTGTACACACCATGATCAATTACAGTTGAACTTGGGTATCTCGAACACCGATATGGTGAATACCGTGGATACGTTGAAGAGATTGTGAAGGCCAAACTCTTCATTCTTATAATATTTTACCATGGATATCTCGAATCCTTGGATGCATGGATCAAAGTTTTTTTCCCTCATTCTCAGTGAGTTCGATAACAAGATTCATATATACAATACATTAATCGGTTATTTATAATACACCAATATCTTATATTCACAACACCTCAAATTAGTAATTTTTACATTTGTCAATTTTTTGGCTTTAAAATTTTGTACTAATAATTCTCATGAATATTTTTTTTTAAATAATAATCAAATATACTACACATTAATCAACTTCATTTAATACCCTGATAAATTATTTACAAAACCTCATAAAAAAACACAATGAAGGAATTTTATACAACATATGAATCACATATATACATCACATGAATGAGATATATACAACACATGGATCAGAGATATGTACAGCACTTGGATAAGATATATACAGCATATGGATCAAATATCTACAACACGTGGATATACAATACTAGTACATGAATCAGATACAATACATGGATCTGATGTACACAACGCATGGATCTGATATATACAACACATGAATCAGGTTATATTAACACTATCTATATCTGTATTATACAATAAAGACAGCATGTCAATCAATTATGTACACAACACCTTTATCTGATAAGCTATAAATTCAACCATAATACACATCATTAATACCATAAGATGCGAGAAAAACAGGTAGTAAAACAAATTACTTCCATTCCATTTCATGAAATATGTGGAAGTACTAAAAATGTGAAGTATGTACAAAGGAATTGTTTCAAACAGTTTCAATTCACAAAGACTACTTAATGCTGTAAATAAAAACCCAGATTTATCCATATTCTTTCATCAAATACTCTATACATTAATAAGCTACATACATTTATTACACACTTAGTAATAAATCAGGTTTTTTGCATATGTGATATGGCTGGCGTCCCAATAGCCGTATCAGCCCTGTAGGGCTGATATGGATTTCCAGGACTGATAACCTACATCAGCCCCGCAAATCCATATCAGCCCTGCAGGGCTGATACGGCTATTATTACGTCAATATCACACCCTTTGTAAATTAGCCACAAAAACAGCACTTGTGATCATACACAATTTTTGGTGGGTTCATATTCTTTTAATTTTAACTTTTTGAAAATAAGGTTAATCTTAATTTACAAATACATGTAATAGATTATTTTCAAATTAGGATCGAGTGCATTGTCATTGAAGTAGAAACAAACCCAAATCGTATGAGACAATAGACCATGTACATGTATGTAAGAAGTCCGTGCATGATTATTTACTTATTTTCTTCTCATCTTAATGTGTTCTGTATTTTATTACTAAGTATGTAATAAATATAAAAAAACATACCCTTTTCCACATCACATCCTGTATCAGCCCTCGACCAATATCAGCCCTCGGGCCTTCGGCCCTCTGGCTGATATTGGTGTCTCGAGCTGATACAGGATGTGATATGGAAAAAGGGTATGTATTATTCTCTATGTATAACACACCAATACATTATCTATACAAAACCTCATAACCAGCACAATGAAGGAATTTCATACAATATATAAATCAAATATATACATCATATAAATCAAATATATACAACACATGAATCAAATATATACAACACATGAATCAAATATATACAACACATGAATCAGATATATACGATCAGATATACAATACATCGATCAGATATATACAAGACATGGATCAGATAGGTATACGCAACTCATGAATAAGATATATACAAAACATGGAAATACAACCATTTTGATAAAAAAAATATACATTACATTAATAAGCAAGTATACATAAACACTGGCCTTTAGTGAAAAGTACAAGTGAAATATTGGATATCAATGAATAAATACAAATAAAGGATAGGTCTACATGTGTATTCGAAAAAAGTACATATAAAAATATTGATCCTTTATTAAAAAAATATACATATGACATATTGGACCTGAATAAAAAAGTACATTTAAAAACAATACTACTCGGATGAATTTTTACTTCATATATGACATTTTGAGCAGAAGATAGGTTTCTTAATGAAATCACTTTGCCGTTAGTGTCATTCAATATCAAAGGATTCCCTATTAGCGTGTTTTACTATGCGAGGTTTGTCAGTAAAAAAAAAGGTTTCCTATTGTTCGTTTGTCATTTTAAATTGCTTCTCGCCATCAACTAAACATACAACAACCTTCTCCCCATTCTTATTTTCAATATTAAGTAAATCGGGAAACTTTTCAACAAGAGAGCTACATATTTTTGTTTGATTTTGGACACAAGCGACGTGTAGGACCGTGTTACCCTCATTGTCCCCAACATTTAATAGGTCTGGGTAAGAATCTATCAAGTAATCAAACATTGCCTGTTTGTCCACGTGACCATCCATGTGTTTACCCACGTGACAAGAGAGATGTAGGACGGTCTGACCGGTACCTGTTTTACTGTGGACATCTAGACCTTTCTCCAACAGAAACTTAAAGATTTCTACCTCACCTCCGATAGCTGTATCATGTAATGCATTAAATCCATCATTGTCCTGAACAGTCAGTAGCTGCTGATAATTGTTCACCAAGTACTTGCACATTTGTATCTTACCAGTCATACAACATTTGTGGAGAACAGTTTTACCCTTTCTTGTTTTACTGTCTGTGGGTAGACCTTTGGCTATCAAAAGCTTAAGCAAATCAACGTTATCCCCCACGCCTGCAGAATGTATCACGGTTTCTTCATCATTGTCAGTGAGATCTACTAATTCCGGGTGATTATTGACCAAGTACTTACATATTGCTAACTTACCGTTCATACAGCACATGTGCAAGACCGTTTTACCTTTCTTTGTTTTACTCTTTACATCTAAGCCTTTGTTTATAAGAAATTGAAACAGAGCAACATTTCCTCTAAATGCTGCATCATGTAATACAGTTTTTCCTTCAAAGTCAATACTTCCCACCAAATTACTGTAACGTTTGACCAAATACTTACACATCTCTAAATGACCATTCAAACAGCATTTGTGAAGGACCGTTTTTCCTTTGTTTGTTTTACGGTTTATATCTAAGCCTTTGTTTATCAGAAATCTAAATAACGCAACATTTCCTCCCCAGGCTGCATCATGTAATACAGTTTCTCCATCATTGTCAATACTTCTCACCAAATCATTGTAACGTTTGACCAAGTACTTACACATCTCTAAATGACCATTCATACAGCATTTGTGAAGGACTGTTTTTCCCTTCTTTGTCTTGCTCTTTTCATCTAAGCCTTTGGCAATTAGACATTTCAGAAGATCAATATTACCCCCAAAGGCTGCGTCATGTAATACAGTTTCTCCTTCTTTATCAATAATTTTTACTAAGTCAGGATAATGTTTTAACAAGTACAGACACATGTTCAGCATACCATTCATACAACACTGATGTAAGACTGTTTTACCTTTCTTTGTTTTACTGAAAACATTAATACCTTTTCCCGTCACAAGTTTGAAAATGATAACATTGCCTCCATACGCTGCCTCATGTAACACATTTTCGTCCTCAACATCCTTTAGATGAAGAAAGTGAGGATATTTGTTGATCAAATACTCACACATTTGGATGTCACCATTTCTACACCACCAGTGTAACACCGTTTTGCCTGATTTATCTCTAATGCTTGCATCCAAACCTTTGTCTATCATTAACTGAAACAATTCAACATTACCTTTTCTGGCGGCGCAAAGTAACACTGTCTCCCCATCATTATCAATGATATGAAGTAATTTTGGATAATGTTCAACCAGATATTTACACATAGTATAATTCTTATTAATGCATGCCACATGAAGAACCGACTGACCATCGTTTGTAAGATCGTTATCACTCATACCAACTGACAAAAGGTAGGAAAATATGTTTAACTTTCCGTGTTTAGCTGCAACATGCAGAACAGTGTATCCGTCATATTTAATGATGTGAAAAAGTTGGGGATACCTTTGAACCAGATATTTACACATTTCAAGGTCCCCATTTCTGCATAAAATATGAAGAACAGATTCGCCTTCAATTGTGAGATCGTTTACACTCTTAAAAACAGTCAGTAAAAAAGAAAATAAGACAGAATTCCCTTTACTCGCCGCAGCATGTAGAACTGTATATCCGTCATTGTCAATGATATGCAAAAGTTGGGGGTAATTTTGCACAAGATACTTACACATTTCAAGGTTTCCATTCCGACATAAAATATGAAGAACAGATTCAACATCATTTTTGATGGCATTTACGTTTAATACAGTGAATAAATAAGAACACAATGCCATGTTCCCTCTTTTTGCTGCAGCATGTAAAACTGTATCTCCGTCATTGTCAATGGCATTCAAAAGTTGAGGATGATTTTGGGCCAAATACTTACACATTTCAAGGTTTCCATTCCGGCAGAAAATATGAAGAACAGATTCGCCATCATTTGTGACAGCATTAACGAGTTCGAACAAACAGTTAATAAATAGTTGAATAATTCAGAGTTTCCTCCTCTCGCTGCAGCATGTAGAACTGTATCTCCGTCATTGTCAATGGCATTCAAAAATTGAGGATGATTTTGGGCCAAATACTTACACATTTCAAGGTTTCCATTCCGGCAGAAAATATGAAGAACAGATTTGCCATTATTTGTGATAGCATTAACGTTCGAACAAACAGTTAATAAATAGTTGAATAATTCAGAGTGTCCTCCACTCGCTGCGGCATGTAGAACTGTATCTCCGTCATTGTCAATGGCATTCAAAAGTTGAGGATGATTTTGGGCCAAATACTTACACATTTCAAGGTTTCCATCCCTGCATAAAATATGAAGAACAGATTCGCCATCATTTGTGACAGCATTAACGTTTGAACAAACAGTTAATAAATAGTTGAATAATTCAGAGTGTCCTCCTCTGGCTGCGGCATGTAGAACTGTATTTTCGTCATTGTCAATGGCATTCAAAAGTTGAGGATGATTTTGGGCCAAATACTTACACATTTCAAGGTTTCCATCCCTGCATAAAATATGAAGAACAGATTTGCCATCATTTGTGACAGCATTAACGTTCGAACAAACAGTTAATAAATAGGAGAATAATTCAGAGTGTTCTCCTCTGGCTGCGGCATGTAGAACTGTATCTCCATCATTGTCAATGGCATTCAAAAGTTGGGGATGATTTTGAGCCAAATACTTACACATTTCAAGGTTTCCATTCCAGCATAAAATATGAAGAACAGATTTGCCATTATTTGTCATAGCATTAACGTTCGAACAAACAGTTAATAAATAGGAGAATAATTGAGAGTGTCCTCCTCTCGCTGCGGCATGTAGAACTGTATTTCCGTCATTGTCAATGGCATTCAAAAGTTGAGGATGATTTTGGGCCAAATACTTACACATTTCAAGGTTTCCTTTCCAGCATAAAATATGAAGAACAGATTTGCCATCATTTGTGACAGCATTAACGTTCGAACAAACAGTTAATAAATAGGAGAATAATTGAGAGTGTCCTCCTCTCGCTGCGGCATGTAGAACTGTATTTCCGTCATTGTCAATGGCATTCAAAAGTTGAGGATGATTTTGGGCCAAATACTTACACATTTCAAGGTTTCCATTCCAGCATAAAATATGAAGAACAGATTTGCCATTATTTTTGATAGTATTAACGTTCGAACAAACAGTTAATAAATAGTTGAATAATTCAGAGTGTCCTCCTCTGGCTGCGGCATGTAGAACTGTATCTCCGTCATTGTCAATGGCATTCAAAAGTTGAGGATGATTTTGGGCCAAATACTTACACATTTCAAGGTTTCCATTCCAGCATAAAATATGAAGAACAGATACGCCATTATTTGTGATAGCATTAACGTTCGAACAAACAGTTAATAAATAGTTGAATAATTCAGAGTGTCCTATTCTGGCTGCGGCATGTAGAACTGTATCTCCGTCATTGTCAATGGCATTCAAAAGTTGAGGATGATTTTGGGCCAAATACTTACACATTTCAAGGTTTCCATTCCAGCATAAAATATGAAGAACAGATTTGCCTTTATTTGTGATAGCATTAACGTTCGAACAAACAGTTAATAAATAGGAGAATAATTCAGAGTGTTCTCCTCTCGCTGCGGCATGTAGAACTGTATTTCCGCCATTGTCAATGGCATTCAAAAGTTGAGGATGATTTTGGACCAAATACTTACACATTTCATGGTTTCCCTTCCGGCAGAAAATATGAAGAACAGATTTGCCATCATTTGTGACAGCATTAACGTTCGAACAAACAGTTAATAAATAGGAGAATAATTGAGAGTTTCCTCCTCTCGCTGCGGCATGTAGAACTGTATCTCCGTCATTGTCAATGGCATTCAAAAGTTGAGGATGATTTTGGGCCAAATTCTTACACATTTCAAGGTTTCCATCCCCGCATAAAATATGAAGAACAGATTTGCCATTATTTGTGATAGCATTAACGTTCGAACAAACAGTTAATAAATAGTTGAATAATTCAGAGTGTCCTCCTCTGGCTGCGGCATGTAGAACTGTATCTCCGTCATTGTCAATGGCATTCAAAAGTTGAGGATGATTTTGGGCCAAATACTTACACATTTCAAGGTTTCCATTCCAGCATAAAATATGAAGAACAGATTCGCCATTATTTGTGATAGCATTAACGTTCAAACAAACAGTTAATAAATAGGAGAATAATTCAGAGTGTCCTCCTCTCGCTGCGGCATGTAGAACTGTATCTCCGTCATTGTCAATGGCATTCAAAAGTTGGGGATGATTTTGAGCCAAATACTTACACATTTTAACGTTTCCCTTCCGGCATAAAATATGAAGAACAGATTGGCCATTATTTGTGATAGCATTAACGTTCGAACAAACAGTTAATAAATAGTTGAATAATTCAGAGTGTTCTCCTCTGGCTGCGGCATGTAGAACTGTATCTCCGTCATTGTCAATGGCATTCAAAAGTTGAGGATGATTTTGGGCCAAATACTTACACATTTCAAGGTTTCCATCCCGGCATAAAATATGAAGAACAGATTTGCCATCATCTGTGACAGCATTTACGTTCGAACAAACAGTTAATAAATAGGAGAATAATTGAGAGTTTCCTCCTCTCGCTGCGGCATGTAGAACTGTATCTCCGTCATTGTCAATGGCATTCAAAAGTTGAGGATAATTTTGGGCCAAATACTTACACATTTCAAGCTTTCCATCCCCGCATAAAATATGAAGAACAGATTCGCCATTATTTGTCATAGCATTAACGTTCGAACAAACAGTTAATAAATAGGAGAATAATTCAGAGTGTTCTCCTCTGGCTGCGGCATGTAGAACTGTATCTCCGTCATTTTCAATGGCATTCAAAAGTTGAGGATGATTTTGGGCCAAATACTTACACATTTCAAGGTTTCCATTCCAGCATAAAATATGAAGAACAGATTGGCCATTATTTGTGATAGCATTAACGTTCGAACAAACAGTTAATAAATAGTTGAATAATTCAGAGTGTTCTCCTCTGGCTGCGGCATGTAGAACTGTATCTCCGTCATTGTCAATGGCATTCAAAAGTTGAGGATGATTTTGGGCCAAATACTTACACATTTCAAGGTTTCCATCCCCGCATAAAATATGAAGAACAGATTTGCCATCATTTGTGACAGCATTTACTTTCGAACAAACAGTTAATAAATAGGAGAATAATTGAGAGTTTCCTCCTCTCGCTGCGGCATGTAGAACTGTATTTCCGCCATTGTCAATGGCATTCAAAAGTTGAGGATAATTTTGGGCCAAATACTTACACATTTCAAGCTTTCCATCCCCGCATAAAATATGAAGAACAGATTCACCATTATTTGTCATAGCATTAACGTTCGAACAAACAGTTAATAAATAGGAGAATAATTCAGAGTTTCCTCCTCTGGCTGCGGTATGTAGAACTGTATCTCCGTCATTGTCAATGACATTCAAAAGTTGGGGATGATTTTGGACTAGATACTTACATAGTTTAATATGCCCTTTTCTACAGGCCATTTTTAGTGGTGTTGTCTTCCCATTTGTGTATTGTAATTTAACACCTCTCTCTTGAAGATATTCAAATATCTCAATATTCCCCGATTGCGCAGTCCAGTAAAGAGAATTTCCCTCATTAGAGTAATCCAAATCATTTGTCAATAAATCAGGATAGGTTTCACAAATGTACTTCACCATATCTAACTTACCGTTTTGACAAGCATAGTGAAGAGCGTTACTACCATGATGAGATCTAGAATACGGATTAGATCCACTGTTTACCAACATTTTAAAGGCATCTATTTGCCCAGCAAATGCAACAAAATGAAGAGCGTTTCCACCTTGTTCATTTTTAACATCACGCAGTAATGGATGATGTTTTAGGACAGAATCGATAAAATCGTTTTGACCAAAGAAACATATTTCATGTAGTAAACCTCCTTTTAAAAAGGACCATGAGGGGTGGTTTGAATTCTCTAATTGATTAAGATCCACATTTTCTGTAAATTTGAAAAGCATCTCAATATTTCCACTTTGCACTGCAAAGAAACAAGTTTTTAGATCATAAGCAACATCTCCTTTTAGAATAAGGTCCACAACCTCGACACGATTATACATACAGGCCTTGTTTAATGAGTTATACTTCTGTCTTTCTGATGAACATGGTAATAGATATTCTACCAATGTATCATTACCAGCCCCTGCAAAATGAACCAACATTGAATCACCATTTTCATCAATGTTGTCTATCATGATCTGTTTATATTCCTCATTTAGCATGACCTCCTCTGTAAACTTTTCGTCCGACCAAAGTTCCATTAAAGAAACTGATTTGTATTCAGAAGCTTTCTTTCCTTTAATAATATCAAAAATTCTACTTTTGAGGTCTGGGAACAAATTGTTGTCTATAATGATTGAATTAGGGGCTTTGGTTGTAGTTGAAAGAGTTATTAACAGGGAAGGAGCACAAGCTCTTACAATTTCATTTGGATATTCTTGACAAACATAAAGAAAAAGACTTTCTTGGACAGAACTATGAGTAAATCTGTACTCCTTTTTAACAACATCGTGGTGTATATAAGAACCTACATAATATCCGACGGAATCGTGAAATTTGATTAATGAATCATCTTTCTCTAATTTCATTATTTTTAAAGCCTGTTTTTTTCTTTCCCTGTCCTTAAGAGGTGTCTCAATTATTTCATCCCATACCTTTCCTCCACAAAGTAGAATGTAAATCAAAACAGCAGTTTTGTGTTCTTTTTCATTAATTCTCAGTTTGATTTCCTCTTGTAAATGTTTAACAGGGTGTTCAAAAATGTCGCCAATATTTTTTTTGCTTTTGTTTTGTGTTATATTTTTTAATATTTTGATACACTGAGGAATACCAATCATATTGCCAAATTTCCTGGTTTTTATAATCTCATCAGCGGACACGATAGTGTCTTTTAATTCGTACTTTGACAAAAAACATTCTAACTCCTCTCTGTTGATGTTATGTTCCATATCAGATATATCGACAATAGAATTTCTTAAAAAATCTATCCCACTAAGTCTGCTTTCACATTCCTTGTAAATATCATTTCTTAAAGTTGCTATTAACATATTTCCATCCCCGTTTTCATCATTGTTTAGAATAACTTTAATGAAGTCTTTCTGAATAATAAAGTAATGTACCTCGTCCTTAAGAACAGATCTTTCTCCGAACAAATTATCAAGAAATATTATAATTCTAGAACATTTCGGAACTTTTCCATAAAAATTTTCTAAAGATAACAGCTGTAAAGGTTGCATCTTTTTTTCTCTCATTAGTTCTTCAAGGATATGTTTAGCTAGTGTTGTTTTTCCGTCCCCTGGATTGCCTTTAAGAAAAACACATCTCTTTTCCTTTATTATTCGCATGGCTTTTTCACTTGCACGTGTTGTAACGAAAAGAGAACGCATTTCCTTTTCGAAGTTGTCCAACATATCTCTTGTTGTGTCTTTAATAGATATGGTATTGTTTATATATTATTAACTTGTATTTCAATATCGTATTCACAAAATCAAAGAGGAGAACGGTAAAACATTAGAACAAAATACAATAGTACAAAGAAATATAAATTAACCAAGATTCCAAATTAGCTTTTTTCCTAGGCTGTATTTTGAATTGGATTAGATTTTCATGAATCAAGAACTAAAAAATAAATAATAATTACCAATTTTCATCTTTAGTTCTGGCTCTATAGAAAAAAATATGATAAAACTATATAAAAGTGATGAATAACAAAATTAAGCAAACTTAAAACGTTTTATCGGATAAAATTTATATATATCCCATGGCCTTTTGATTTATACTTTGCTCTCTACAATTTGTAACAGAGAAATTGTATTTTTGCCGAACATTTTGTGAAATAGCATATGCTGAAAAGGAAACATTTATTTCCATTCCTTTGTCCATACGATATATCCTGTGAGCTTGAGATAAAATATACCACAGAGTCTGACACTTCTGTTTCATACTTAGATATTTTATTTGAAAAGACGTTAAAGGCTGTCTAACAACCAAGCTATATGATTAATGCGATGACTTGTATCGTCAATTTTCCTTACTTATGCAGCAATATACTTTCATCACCTGCATACGGAGTATATATATCTCAGTTGATTCGATAGCCAAGAGCATGCTCTACGAATAAACAATTTCTGTAACGATGTAAATTATTGACAAGCAATTTGATGAGACAAGGACAGCAGTCTCGTATAAGTTCACTATACTGTAAGTTCTATGGTCGATACAATGACCTTGTCAGGAAATACAATTAATCATGAGTCAAATGTTGAATGGCGTTTTTCATAGTTATTGTTAGTCCATTTTTTATACACTGAATTGACGACGGATATTTCCGTTATTTCCCGATCATGACAAGGAGCACAATGCAGGTATGACCGGTCAGCAGAGGATGCTCACTCTTCCATTGCACCTGATCCCACCTCTGATGTCTCGGAGGTCTGCGTTTTCTTTACTCCTATTTTGTATTGTTTTATGGACTTTGAGATTTAATACTATTCGTTATCTTCATATCCTTCTTTGTGAAAAATATGTTTTAATTAAAGGTTCAAATGCTACCTCAATCAAATTTGAGGACGTGGGCTACAGTTTCTGATACCATATACTATTTCATTTTTAGTGGCAACTTACAACTACATATGTTCGCGATCCAGCGCAACTTTGCAAATCAGATAGCTTTTCTGGAACTTTTGAAAATACCCAACTGGAAATCTCCTACGTTTTACCTTTATCTTTCTCTTTTATGTAGTAATATTCCACTATTACCTGCATATTTTCTTATACATCTCCCGACATATTCAACAAGAACATGCTCAATTTTAAACCAAGAGAGACTTCAGACAAATAGGTCGGAACACCAATAGCCTCTTAAAGTCAGTCTCGTAAATAATACGGTAATTAAAATGACCTCATTGGATAATAAAATCTTTTATTGGTCGTGTTTTGGGTGAATTGTTTAATACCAAATTCTTACACTATTAGATTATTGAATTTTTTTTTATTAATTTTACAATTGAATATGACTGCTTGGTCAATACAATATGAATGGAATGAAGACTTTAAACGAGACTGCTTATATGTTTGGTTCATTAACTTGTTTGTCAATAACATACCTCGTTTTAGAAATTGTTCGCAAGTAGAGCATGCTCAAGCGTATCGAATAGTTATACAAATAAAAAATTACGAGTATTTTTAGTATTCACCAAGAAAGAAGGCTATTTTCCTTTCGTTGTTGCCAGGATTTTCCTTTCTTTCCTCTCCCTTTTCGCATTGTTCAACTGATATGTCTTTATCTTCCCGTTTGCTTTTGACTTGATGCTCATGTGGGAATTCTGAAATGGAATAATTCGATCTTTTTAGGTAGTTTTGCCTTGTTTGTTATTTTGATTTGATTTGCCATTGAATAATAATGCAGGTTGAATGAGGTTTTTTTTTTTTTACACAATCCTTTATAATATAACAATGATTATAAAATAACAATATTTTTTTGGATATGGTAACTTAGAAGAGAATTTGAATAAAACTATAACAGTTTTATCAGAGAGTCATTATTTGTGATGGACATAATTTTCTCAAATTTATAAGTATTTACAGGAACATATAAGTTTATGACAACAATACTTGATTGCGCCCATGTGAAAAGGGTCCTTATGGCAATTTTTATGCATTTTGAGTTTTTCACGGATTCTGATAGAGTAAGGTTAGAAGTTGTCAAATATAAATTTCTATGGTCCTACGTCTACTCTAAGTAGGTTTTTTCTTCATTTTTATGAAATATACTTTAACAGGTTAATAATGACGTCATGTTTTTCAACAACGTCAAACCTTTTCAGACTGAACGTTACATGATTTTCTTCTTTAATTTTACTACGGTGATTAATAGTTGTATAATATTTGATATTTTTCCATGCACATTATATTTATCTCATTGTCTCCTTTAATTAGTAATAATTATTTAATAGTTATGTATATTATGGATTCATCAGTGGTGTATAGTATTATGAGTGAGTGTTTGTTTTACATTTCACTTTTCTATGACACCAGGGGGAAACCTGAACAGCGGGCAACATCCATTCATTTTTTTTTTTGAAACAATTATTTTCTCAAACAAAATATTTACTGGTAATCCATGCAAGAGTCATTTGATAAGCCTGTAGAATTCTCCTGAACATTATTTTAATTTAAACATTGCTCTCGATAGGTCAAGATTTCAGCATAAACGATATATCTTTAGTTACCATATATGTGAAAATTAATTTTTTTTTTAAATTACAACATTACGCTACCTAAATGCTACTGCGAGGTGAAAATTTATTTGATTGTTCTTTCTTTCTAAATTTTATATAAAGATTGTGAAGTGTGGTACATGTAACATGTAATTACGATACACAATAGACAGTAAATAAAAAGGAAATTCGGTTGATTCACTGTAAATATAAGGTTGTCTGTCTGCATTGGGTCAATAATGACACTGCTTTTTTGAAAATATAAAGGATACACGAAATATTTTTCAGTCTAGCAGTAAAAATATTTTAATATTAACCAATCAAAAGGTGGAAATTTTACAAACAAATGAATGAGTTATAATCCGCAATCATTTACACAATAGGTCAACCCAGGATTAACATTTGTAGGATTATGTGTATGTTGGTGAATGGGGGGGGAGTAAAAAGTCTAAATGGCAGAAACTTACAATTCTTGTGAACACGAGTTAAAATAAATAAAAAAAATATTTTTTTTTTACTTCAAAAATTTTAGGTGCACCCAGTACCATTAACCCTACTACTTGCAGATTCACTTTTTACTTAGGTTTGAAATAATGCTGCCTATTATTCTTCATTTTATATTTGTACCTTTAATTCTGAGCCTGGAACTGAATTGCTATAAATTCAGTATTGTTAATCATGTATATAATGATACCCTAAAATTAAAAAATCTGGTTTTATTTTATGAAATGGATGGTTTTAGAAGCACACCCATAGAATTAAATTAAAGATGCAATTTATGGTTTATATGTATAGCTTTTGTTGGGGTAGGGGTGGGTTAAAGATTAAAAACATATGTAATTGTTTATGCCTAAATATACAGTCAATTGAATATGACTGTTTTGTATAATATATTTCCTGACAATTGTCTGTGAACTGGCTCAGCTTTGAAATGTCAGATTTTTGTAGGGATGTAAACATCTTAGAAAATCATCATATTATTTATGACCTAATTAGCCCCCCCCCATTCATTCTAATGTTGTTTTCTAATTTTATTCTATAAAGTGAGTTTTAAAGAGTATGAATTCCATTCTGGTCCCGTTCCCAGGGACGTAGCAACGGGGGGAGGGGGAGGGGCTGGCCCTTCACTTTTTCCCCCAACCTTACTTATACTATAGGAATTGATAATTGAAAGTCTGGATGCCCCCCTCCCACTATGTACAGAAAACGTAGTATAAAATTTGGTACTGAAAAAAGTTGGCCTCTAACCCTTCCCCCCTCCCCACGAAATAGGATTTTCGATTTGTGCAACATTAACCTTTTTTTTTTGCTTGTCAATTTTTCAGGGAAGTAAAATTTTTTTTTCTTGCTGCCCCCCCCTTTCAAAAACGATGCTACGTGCCTGGTGCCAGAAGCTTGGATATGCTAAGCTTTGTAGAGCCTACATGTTACAGAAATATATATAAGCTAGGACACTCCCTCCCCAATCCCCTGCACTGCATCCAAAATGAAACAAAATGCAAGCATATTGTTGCGGTTTTAATTCATGTATTTTCAGCATTGAATTTTATTTTCTGTTAGCATTTACATGTAGAAATGAAACCCGACCCTGAACTTATAAAGATTTTTTTATCAACCAAAGCAAATAAATATTTTTTGAGCATATTTAATAATATTTATCCATAATTTGATGGCAGGTTAAACAATATATTATTCCACACTGATAACTGCAATGAGATCATAAGTTCAGTGATGATTGAGTTTTTAGCATGATAATTGATCTGTTAAGAGACATTCAATGCTGATCGAGCTTTTATGAAAGACAAAGTTCGGCATGGCTTAAAGAATTAATTTGCAGATAATGCTTAAAACATTTGAACTCCGTATGAAAAAAAAAATACAACAGCACGTAAGTACCAAAGAGTTACATGTATATTAAACTTGGAGATCGTGAAAATAAATAGCTATACATGTATATATAGCTTAGAGAACAAAAATGATATTTTCTTTCATTTATTATTTCATTTGTTTTGAAAACTCATCTTTTTCAATAGAGTTTCACGTATCTCAATATTAGATACATGTAAATAGATTCAATATAAATATTTTTATCTGCCCTGCATCCTCTCTCTCTCTCATCAGTTTTACTTGACCAGCTCTATTAAAGTTAGAACATTAAGAACATTTTTTTTTATTCGGATGTTTTTTGCTTGTTTAATTTC